GTTAGCTTTCCTGCTCCTCTGATGCTGCCTGGCCTGCTGTGTTCATCCAGCTCCACACCTTGTTATCTCAGACTGCAGCATCGGCAGTTCCTACTATCTCTGAATGTATTCAAGAGGTGACTAGATATAGCACTTGGGGCAAATGGGATCAAAGGTTATGGGGAGAAAGGAGGATTAGGCTAATGAGTTGGATGATCAGCCATGATCGTGAAGAATGGCAGAGCAGGCTCGAAGGGCTGAATGGCCTCCTCCTGCTCCTATCTTCTATGTTTCTATGTTTCTTAACTAAAACTTTACATTGGTATTCACAAAGGAGAAGAATATGTTGGATAGTGAGTCTCGGGAGGGGTATGTTGATATTCTAGGACATGTCAATATAAAAAAGGAGAATGTGCTCGGTGTTTTGAAAAGCTTTAAGGTTGACAAGTCCCTAGGATCTGAAGGGATCTATCTCAGAAGGCTGAGGGACACAGGTGAAGAAATTGCTGTGGCCTTGTATGAAATCTTTGTATTCTCTCTAATCACAGAGGAGGTCCCAGAGGACTGGACAATAGCTAATGTTATGTCTTTGTTTAAGAAGGGCAACAGGGATAATCCAGAAAATTATAGGCCAGTGAGCCTTACATCAGTGATATGGAAATTATTGGAGGCAGTTCTTAGGGATATGACTTACTCACATTTGTAAGAATATAGACTTATTAGTCATAGGCAACGTGGCTTTGTGTGGGAAAGGCCATGTCATACAAACTTGATTGAGTTTTTTGTGGAAGTGACAAAGATGATTGATGAGGGCAGGGCAGTAGATGTTGTCAATATGGACTTTAGCAAGGCCTTTGACAAGGTCCCTCATGTCAGGCTGATACAGAAGGTGAAGTCACAGGGGATCTGTGCTGAACTGGTAAGATGGATACGGAATTGGCTTAGTCATAGAAGACAGAGAGTAGTGGCGGAAGGATGTTTTTCAGATTGGAGATCAGATCAGTAGTGTTCTGCAGGGATCAGTACTAGGACTCCTGTTGTATGTAATATATAAATGATCTGGAGGAGAATGTCAATGGCCTAATTAGTAAGTTTGCGGATGTTGCAAAGATTGGGGGAGATGTGGGTAATGAGGAGGATTTTCACAGGATACAGCAAGATACAGATAGGCTGGAAACTTGGGCAGAGAAATGGCAGATGGAGTTTAATCCAGACAGCTGCGTGGTGATGCAATTTAGAAGATCTAATGCAGGATGGAAGTATACAGTAAATGGTAGGCCCCTTAGCAGCATCAACATACAGAGCATCTACGTGTATAGGTCCACAGTTTTCTGAAAGGGACAACACAAATGGATAAGGTGGTCAAGAAGACATATAAATATGCTTGCTTCATAAAAATTGGCAAGTCACATTGCAGCTGTATAAAACTTTAGTTAGACCACACTTGGATTATTGTGTACAATTCTGGTTGCCATACTACATGAAGGATGGGGAGTCTTTGGAGAGGTTACAGAAATGGTTTACCAGGATGATGCCTGGTTTGGAGGGTATTTGCTATGAGGAGATATTGGATAAACTTGGTTTGTTTTCACTTGAACGTTGAAAGCTGGGGGACGACCCGATAGAAGTTTACAAAATTATGAGTAGCGTGGATAGAATAGATAGCCAGAGTCTTTTCCCCAGAGGAGAAATGTCAATTACTCGGGAACAGAGGTTTAAAGTAAATGGAGTAAGTTTAAAAGAGATGTGCGGGGCAAATTTTTTACAAAGAGTCCAATAAGTGTCTAGAATGCACAGCCAGAGGACATGATGGAGGTGGACACAAAAGCAATGTTTAAGAGCTATCGTGACAGATATATGAATAGGCAGGGAATAGAGGGAAATGGACTGTGATGGGCAAAAAGTTTTTAGTTTAGAAAGTCATCATGTGGCAGCAAAGTCTCGGTGGGCCGAAGCCCTGTTCCTGTGCTGTACTGTTCTTTGTTCTTCGATCTTTGATCTGGCATAAACTGCATCAGTAACAGACTAGATACATTTGTGGGTTGAGCTTTGAGCAATTCCACACAGGATCCCCAGTGAATAATTGGAAACAGCCAGTTGCAGAAATGTTCAGTGCCGCTGTCAGCTTGAATGCACTCAGATAGGTTGGCCACCTACCCCATCAGATCACAAGACCTCCTCCAGTGAAACTGGGGTGAGCTGCAGCTAACATGGCCATTGAAGGATGATGGATAGCTGATACAACCTCCAGAAATGGAGGCAAGTGAAAAATAATCGAGTCCATTTCCATTAAATAAGCAGCTGTGGACCATAGTGGCAGGGTGCTAAAGATAGGGTAAGGTGGAGAGTTGTGGGTGACTTCTCAATAGGACCTACCACAACAAAACCTCCAACGATATGAAGGTGAATGAAATGCTGCAGCCTTGTCCTCAACAACACCTGATCATTGAAACCACACTGACTGTGCAACAGGCCGTCCACTCCAGAAGACATCACTTATGGTCCTTCTTCAGATTTGTGCAATAGGGTAACCTGGGGATGTAGTAATAACATTACTTTGTAACAGGAAGCCTACCTACGTCCTTTTCAGGAGCACTTCTTTACAGAGGCAGGAATGCTACAAATGAACCATGACCGGATAAAAGGCAATCAAAGACTTTCCAACACAACACATTTTAGGTATTTGTAGGTTGCATTTATTTCATTTTTTGCATTATTTCCATATTTGGTTACTCGGAAAGAAAATTAACTGTAGAAGGATCAGTGTTAAATATCTGACAAGAAAGTATAAGTTTTAGTGATTTGCGAAACCACGGATACAAGAAAGCATAAAGCAAAGGGTTTAAAGTAGAATTAAAGAATCCAAACCATGCAAATACACTATCCAAAACTGGTGGGATTAAAAAATCAAAATATGGATTAAGAATGCTATTTACATAGAAAGGCAGCCAGGAGAATGTAAAAATTCCAATTAATATGTCTTGTTTTCTAACAACTATCTGGTCCTTTTTATGCATAATTGTGACGTTGTTTTCTTCAGTACAGTGGCTATCATTTGGCATATTTTCAATCTTTCTACAACGTTTGCACCTTGTTACAAAAAATATCTTGACATATATTCCTAAAATGATAAAAATTGGAATAAAAAATACAATCAATGCATCTATATGCCCCTCAAACTTATGGTATGCAATACAGCTGCCCTCACAGGACCTTACAGCTACATAATCATCTACAGACTTTTTACTAAAGTCTAATAAAAATACACTAAGTCCATAAAAGACAGCAAACAGCCAAATTAGTATAATTGTCATAACTGTTACAGGTAGAGTGATCTTTACAGAGTAAAACAAAGGGTCACACATAGCATAATAACGATCAATGGCAATAAAACATAAAGTGTAAATTGAAACAACAGTTAACACAATCTCTGTAATTGAGTGAATTTTACAGAACACTTCTCCAAAATACCAGCATTTTTCCACTGACCTAACCATACTATATGGCAATACAATAAAGCCAACTAGAAAGTCCACAACAGCCAAAGATGAGAGAAGAAAATTGGTGGGTGTCTGTAGTTGTTTGAAATGTAAAACAGAAATGATCACCACCAGGTTTCCAAATATAGTAATGAGTATTGAAGTGATAATAAAAATGTACAGTGCTACATTAATTGCAATTGACCTGGTGACTCTGGCACAGGATGTGTTGACAAATTCAAAACAATATTGCACATTGTCTGAATTCTCGTGGTCTGATAAATTCATTTTGTTTCACATTGATAAAATAAACTCCTTGATCACGGTGAGACAACAAAGTTGTTATTTCAAAATGATTGATTGAAGAAATCTTTATCAAGAATATGATTATCTTCATTTGTAGTTAATCTGTGATTTCTGTAAAAATAACCTATTATTAGTGGCATATTTGAAACAAGGGAAGCACATGTTCAAAAGGTATGAAGAAGATTTATAATGGTCAGATATATTTTACAGTAGAAGAACCTGAGTTCTGAAGAATTCAAATGTTCTATTAAAAAAAAAGACACAATGCAGAAGGTTTAATTTAATGTGACAACACATAATTTATAATACCTGTGCAATTTATCTGTGGATTATTTTGTCATGATTATTGATCAGTTAAGTAATTATAGCCTGCATAGATTGAAAACACCACAAAAATAAATAGTTTCCTAAACAAATAAAATGATTCAGTATTTGCATTGGATGACAGAAATAATTTTGATTTCCATTGAACTCAATAAGATCAATTGGATGAGCAACCGGATACTATACAATATTGCAGAAAAATTAAATGAACCCAATGTTTCTGCTCACAAACAAAAACAGAAGTTGCTGGAAACGCTCAGCAGGTCCATCAACATCTGTGGAGAGAATCAGAATTAATGTTTCGGGTCGAGTGACCCTTCCAGAGAACTGGTCTTGTCTAATATTCTTGTCCAATGTTTCTGCCATTGACCTGATCACTGAAGGCCATAAAATCTAAAATATTGTGTTTGCATATACTTTAATGTTAATTAAGACCAATTACAATTAGCCGTGCTTTGATATTAGTAAACATTTATTTCATCTTTATTCATATTATATATTTTTTAAAATAAATTACTTATATACGAATAATTTTTTGCTAAAATTCCCTTTTCATAAATATGCTGCCTGAATTAATCAGGTGTAATTGTTAAACAGGCATTGCGTTGGAATCTGATCCACTTCGATGACATTTATCTTAGCCTTGAACCTCAGGGTATGTGGTTGGTGGACAGAAGCACTTTTACCCTGGTATCAGTTTCACTCAACAGTTTTGTTCTTCCTAAAATTAAACTTCCTTACTGGTTTAAAAAGAAAACAAGTTTGAATGAGAAAATGTATTGTTTCTATCTGCATCTTTCTCTATTTGTGGCTGCATCCACACATCTTCCTGTGCATGTCATTGCCTCAAAATCTGCCGTGAAGTTCAATGTGTAGAAATGGGAAGTGATACAGTTTGGTACAGAGAACATGGACAGACAGTACAAAATAAAGTGTACAATTCTAAAGGGTTTGTAGGAGCTGGGACACCTGAGTCTAAATGCATGCAAGACATTAAATATAATAGGAGAGGTAGAGAGAGCCATTAATAAAGTATACAGAGTTCTTGGCTTTATAAATATGAGTATAGAATACAAGAGCAGGGCTGTTATGATTAACTATATAAGACATTGGTTAGACGTCAGCTGGATTGTGTACAGTCTGGGCACCGTGCCATAGAAATAATGTCAACACATAGGAGAGAGTGCAGAAGAGGTTTACAACAATGATTCCAGGATTAAGATACTTCAGTTAAAGGGAAATATTGGAGAAGTTGGGATTGTTTATCTTGGATAGGAGAGGGCTTAGAAGAGATTCAACAGGAGTATCCAAAATCATAAGAGGAGTGGACAAAAAGACTAGGGAGAAACTATTCCCACTCACAAAAGGATAGAGAAACAGGGAGCACAATTTTAGATAAGCAAATGCAAGGCGAGAAGAAATTTTCTTTCTCAGCGAGTGGTTTGAATCTGGAATGTACTGCATGGAATGGAAGTGTGGTGGAGGCCGGTACAATTGCAGCATTCAAGAGGCCATTGGATGATAATTTAAATAGAAACAATATGCAGGGACAATTTTCAGCATGATGGTGTAGATACAAAGGCAGAATGTTTTCCCTCTGCACTGCAGCAGTTCTGTGATTTTATGCTGGTGACAGTAATAAGAACTTTTATTATTAACAAAAAAAGTTCATTTGTTTTACGTTTCAAAATTCAACTCATGGGCTCTTTTGTAAAATAAACTTGAATTATGTGCGGAAAGGCATTCTGAGGTAGAAATTCCATTTGCATTGTAAAACTGCATGACAATTCATGGCAAAAATGTGGCAGAATACAATATTACTAGCTTTTCTCTCCATACATTTTGCTCCATACCTTGGATGGAGGGGCTATTTGTTCTGCTTCCCAATTAGATTGGAAACCAATTTCAGACCCTATCTGGAGAAATGTGGGAAGAATTCTGAGTTACCCTACAAAATCTATAAAGCTAATCCTTGATCAGCACAGCTGCTCCTTTGCACTTGGACAGAGTATTTCAGTTAACTTGGAAAACAGAAACAGGAATTGGCCATTCTGTTCTTCATACCTGTTTTCTTAATCTATAGATCACGACTAATCTGTACCTGAACTCCAATTACTCACAACTTTTCGATATCCCTTGGTACAATTACCCAATAAAAATCCATCAACAACAAAAACGCAATTTATTTTCATATCTACCCTTTAACATTGCATAATATCCAAGATATTTCACTAAAATGGATTCGGGCAGAAACAGACACCAAAATAAAGGAGGAGATCCTTAGACAGCAACTTCCAAACCCATGACCACTTCCATCTAGAAAGACAAGGGCAGCAGGGATGTGGTAACACCATGATCTTCAAGTTCCCCTCCAAGCCACTGACCATTCTGACTTGGAAATATATTGCCGTTCCTTCACTGTCGCTGGATCAAAATCCTGGAATCCCCTCCTTAATGGCATTGTGGGTCAACCCACAGCAGGTGGACTGTAGCGGTTCAATAAAGCAGCTCCCCACCATTTTCTCAAGGGCAACTAGGGATGGGCAGTAAATGCTGACCAGCCAGCGTTGCTCATATCCTACAAATGAATTTATAAAAGGCACTATTACACTAATCATGGAGACCTCAGTATGCAGGTGGACAGGGTAACGCAGATTGGTAGCAGATCTCAAGTAAAGGAGTTTGTGGAATGCTATAAGGTGTTTTTTTTTGGAACAACTTGTGGGAGAACCCTAAGGAATAGGCAATTCTGAATTTGGTGATGTGTAATGAAGTAGACTTGATTGGGGAGCTTAAGGTGAAGGAACCCCTAGCAGGGAAGTGGCCATAATACGACAGAATTTGTCCTGCAGTATGAGAGGAAGAAGCTGGAGTCAGATGTAATAGAATTATATTTAAGTAAAGATAACTACAAAGACATGATTGAGGAGCTGGCCGGATATGTTTTGCTGAGCATCTCCGTCTGGCCTGTTACGGCCAAGCTAACCTACTGGTCACCACCCATTTCAACTTCCCATTTCACATTCCCTTCTGATATGTCTGTTCTCAGCCTCTTCCAGTGTTGGCAGTGACTTGGAACACAAATTGGAAGAACAACACCTTATCTTCCGCCTGGATTCAATCCTCCCATCGATTAACCAGGTCGTACCTACCACCAGTGTCCACCTATCACCACCATTCTGCCTCCACCCCTTCCCCCTCCTCTTTATCTGCTGCTCCCTCTACTCCCCCATCCAGTCCTAAAGAAGGGTAATGCCCGAAAGGTTGACTGTTCCTTTCCTCAAGATGCTGCCTGGTCTGCTGTGTTCTTCCAGCCTCCTGTTTCTGAAGGAGATAGCTGAGGAGACTGTAGAGGCATTGTTGATGATCTTTCAGAAATCACTAGAATCAGGGCTGAGTCAGCATGGCTTCATCAAGGGGAAGTCATGCCTGAAAAATCTGTTAAATTATTTGTGGAGGTAACCAGCAAGTTAGACAAAGGAGAGCCAGTGAACGTGATCTACTTAAATTTCCAGGAGGCTTTTGACAATGTGCTGCACAGAAGTTGCTGAATAAGATGAGAGCCCATGCTGTTAGGGGTAAAGTACTGGCATGGATAGAGGACTCGCATAAGGCAGAGAGTTGGGATAAAGGGGTCTTTTCAGGACAATAGCCACCGACTAGTGGAGTTCCACAGGGATCAGTGTTAGGACCATACATATTCACATTATGCATTGATGATCTGGACCAACGATCTGAGGGCGTTACTGCTAAATTTGCAGATGTCACAAAGATACTTAGAGAGACAGGTAGTGTTGAGGAAGTGGGAAGCTGCAGAAGGACTTGGACAGGCTGGGCGAGTGGGTAAAGAAGTGGCAGATGGAGTACAATGTGGGAAAGTGTGAGGTTATGCATTTTAGCAGGAAGAATAGAGGTTTGATTATAAATGGGGAAAGGCTTCTGAAATCTGAAGTGCAGAGTGACTTGGAGTCATTGTTCAGGATTCTCTTAAAGTTAACATGCAGGTTCAGTTAGCAGTTAGGAAGGCAAATGCAATGTTAGCATTCATCTCAGGAGGTGGTCTAGAATACAAGAACAGGGATAGAACATAGAACATAAAACAGTACAGCACAGTACAGACCCTTCGGCCCACGATGTTGTGCTGAACTTTTACCCTAAACCTAAGGTCTATCTAACCTCCACCCCTACCTTATACTATCATCCATATGCCTATCTAATAGCCACTTAAATGCTCCTAATGAGGCCGACTCCACTACCCTCTCTGGCAATGCATTCCACGCCCCTACCACTCTCTGAGTAAAGAACCTACCTCTGATGTCTCCCCAATATCTACCTCCACTCACTTTAAAACTATGCCCCCTCGTAATAGCTACCTCCACCCTAGGAAAAAGTCTCTGGCCGTCCACTCAATCTATACTTCTGATCATTTTGTGCATCTCTATCAAGTCACCTCTGATCCTTCATCGTTCCAAAGAGAAAAGCCCTAGCTCTCTCAACCTTTCCTCGTAAGACCTTCCCTCCATTCCAGGCAACATCCTGGTAAATCTCCTCTGCACCTTTTCCAACGCTTCCACATCTTTCCTGTAATGAGGCAACCAGAACTGGACACAATACTCCAGATGTGGCCGAACCAGGCTTTTGTATAGCTGAAGCATAAC